AAGATAAGGAGGGAAATAAAAATCCTTAAATATGTCTTGTTGCTTAGCTTTTTAAAATATTATTTATTAGTTGTAGATTTGGTTTTTTGACTTTTTTCATGCTTAAGTGTTTTTTCAGCGTACTGAATGTTTTACAGTGGAGGTTTGGTTTAACTTCCAAGCCTTTCACAAGTTGCAGCTAGTCCGTTCCTGCAGCAGCTGCTGTGGCATGAGATTCATTCCACCCGCTCTAAAGCAATGATTGCTTGTGAAGTGAGATGGAATAGATCGTAATTGTGTTATACCCTGTGGTCTGCTCAAGCCCGTCATAGGGAAGAGGCCAAAATCTAATTGTGCTTGCTTCCCATCCAGTATATCAGGCGCTTGCTCTCCCAGCTCAGGCAGGAAATGGTTTGTCTTTGTATCCAAGGTTAGTAGGTGCTACACCGTTTGCAGACCCTTGACTAGTTGTGAACTAGAGCCTACACCTTTGGCTTTTCAGCCTTGAAAACTCAGGCCTCTAGCATTTGAGCTGAAGAAGCCCCAGTGTTACCTGTCAGTAATTCTGCTTATCCTCTTTAGACATTTATTAGCCGTTTTCGTCGTATCATGGACTCCTCTCAGAATGCCTACAACGAAGACACGTCAGCTCTGGTGGCTCGGCTGGATGAATTGGAGCGAGCCTTATTTCGAGCTGGCCAGAAGGGGCTGAATGACTTCCAGTGCTGGGAAAAGGGACAGGCTTCTCAAATCACAGCTTCCAGTCTGGTCCAGAATTACGGGAAAAGAAAGTTCACGGATATGGATGGTTAAAAGCCTGAAGAACATGCAGCTACTGTGGCGGACACCAAGAGATTTACAGCCTGCCTATTGCAGAAGAGAAAGATTAATCAGCTTTGGGGAAGGACAGGCTCCCTGTCCATTAATGGAAATTCTTCTCTATAACGTCTTTGGATTAGATTAGTGCAAATTTTAAAGGCAGATGGCAAGAGTATAAAAAATATATCACATCACATCACTGGACAGCTTTACAGCTTACTCATACCACTCCTGAGGATTTGCAGTTCAAGTGTTTCTAGGTGGCTAAAGGGTATGAGATGATTTTCTAAATGGGTAATTAATATTTATTATTCTTTATCTTCCAAATTTATATTTACAATACTGGATCTGTTTGGAAAAAAGTGTAATTCTTTGTATTTCATCTTGCCCTTCCCATTCCAACCTCCTGGGGACAGCTGTTTCCAGGTTCCCCATTCTTTGGAGAGCCCCAACGATGTGGGAAAAAACATGGTACAAATTGCATTGAATTTTTCCCACTTCTTATACATTGAGGTGGAACAGGTACTCTTTGTGAGGCAGGAATGTTTTTCTTTGCTGACTTTTGTACACAGTGTTAGTGCCCCAGCGAAAAACACCTCCTCTTAACTCATGTAGCAAGGGAAGTGGCTGGGCAAGTCTCACATGCTGCCTCATCCTCTCTCTCGCTTTCGGCCCGTGTGGGGTTGATGCTGTGCGGGGTGGAAAGCGTTCTCGTTTGATGTGAGTGGCTTTTGCGATGGATGTGTCTCAATGATGGCTGTTAAGCTCCTCCATGTATTTTACAGAGGAGGCAACAAAGAGTTAGTCTGGACTGGGTCAGAAGCAGCAACTTTAATGGAAACTCCCCCGTTATCAACCTCTGAGCCATCTGTTTTCTCAGGAGGACTACTTCTGATTACTAAATTTGGTTAATAGAAGGGACAGAGCAAATGAACTGAGTTTCCTTCCTTCTGATCCTAACTAAATGATACTAACTAAATGATCCTAGTAAATGTCATTCTTGCCAGTAGGAGTGAGTGGAGTTGGAACTTGCCAAACAGCACAGTGGTTTCATCCCGTGTGGATGCCCTTACACCTAGATTATCTGAAGTCCCATTGGATTGGAGACAGAAAACAGATGGTTGTCTCTGTAGGCTGTAGTTCCCACAGTCATCAGGATGATCATCCTTTGGAAGCAGGTGTTGGACATCTCATGGGTGCTTCTGAGCATCTGTAGGTGAACCTTGGGAGTACCTAGGTGGAGGAGCCAGATTGTAATGATACTGAGCACTTCCTCTTCTGTGGGAATCACTGGGAGGTGACAGCAAGATCCACATCTTGGAGGACTTGTTACTGGACTTGCAGATGCACCTGGATATTGGATTCTTCAAACTGGAAACCTCCAGTACAAAGGATGCCTGCCCGTTCCTTGGCCAGAGGAGTGAAAGCTCTGCCTCTGGAGGTGGTGAGAGGGGACAATGTGCTGGCTTCACACAGCAGCCCAGGGCCAGCTGTCTTGCCACAGGAGACTAATTGGAAGCTGTGCCTGACAAAGTATTTCAAGTAAGGGCAAGATCAAATGCTGCTGCACTTAATGACTTAATGGCACATAATAGCCTATGCATTTTTATGAAGATTTTGTCTATTGTCTTTTTCTGGATTTTTATGTTAAATAAATATTTTGTAAGGAGATGCTCTTAAAGTAAAATGTCTGTTGTTAATTGCCCCACAGCAGAAAAATTAGTCATAGTTTGGAAAATGCAGGTCTTCACAAACCTGTGGCCATGATAGATGATGCAGTCCTGCTTATATCATTCCTCTTCTCTTACAGGTAGCGTGGTCAGGAGCTACCTTTGTGCAGTCAGGCGAGTGTAGAAGTATTTCCTCTCTGACTTATCCCATGTGGGTAATAGCTGTTTGCCTAAGTTGTCGAAGAGACACTGCCAACGAATTGAGAAGCTATTGATTTTATAAATTGCATTTTTTTTGAAACATGAGATGGATGGAGGTGATTCCATGTTATCTCGACTGTTGTCGAGTGGTGGGTAGTGGGTGGCAATCAGCTGTGTCTGTATTCGTACCCTGCTGCTCCAAGCGCTGTAGCATAGACTTCATGGAGCATGTCAAAGCTGTGTCCAGTGCTTCAGCTGCAAGGGAAGCAAGTCTAAGTCCGTCTGTGATGAGAAGTGTTTTTGAATTGGAAGGATTATTTTAATGAGATGGCGGTTTTGAGATCCAGTTGGTTTATAACAAAAATCGTTATTTCAGAGTGGGGAGAAAAAAATCCCTGAAGTAGTAGTCCTCAATGGCACTGGCTTTTTGTAAGTAAGCAATGTCACTTTTAGTAACCCTGAATGTTTAGGAATAAACACCAATAAGACCCTTAAAAAATTTGATCCTGTAATTTTAAATTACAGTATTTCATTAGTAGATTGGATATTCTGTTGATTTTTTTTTTCCTTTTTTTTTTTTTTCCCCCTTGCTGGCTGGAATACTTCTTTTCTGTCCAGAAATACAACAACAGAGTGCTGTGTACTTTTTATGAACACAAACTGTTCTTTATGATTGCACCGTGGCAAGCTATCAGTTGGAGGAGTTTGAACTTGTATATTTTCAGAATGGCACGATAAATCCTCATTACAGAACTATACAAAAGAGGTCTGAAAAGGACTTCTAAGTGTAATTTCTCCCCATGTCCCTCAGCTTTTAAACTGGAGGACTACTGATGTTTTTGAGAAAGCAGTCCATAGACCCATTTTATAGTATTGCCACAATGGTTTTCATTGCAATCAAATAAAAAATAGGCACAATTTGAGATGCTGATTAGTTACGCATTCACATATTTGTTTGGGTTTTAATGGCATGTTTTTGAAAAGAGGTATGAGCTGACCTGGCCTAGTCCTTCCCCTAAAGCGAGGAGTTGGACTCCATGATCCTTATGGGTCCCTTCCAACTTGAGATGCTCTATGAGTCTATGATTAGCCCCGTCTAATCCATCTCAGGATGATGTTTGTCCAGCCAGGCGTTCAGAAGCCACCTCTGCAGGAGAACCCACAGCCTCCCTCGGCAGTCTGTTCTGTGCCTGGCTGCAGCGTATGATGAACAAAGTTAGAGCTGCACATTCACTGACACAGTGGAAGACGCGGTCGGTCGAGCTTCCCTGTTGGAATGGTTAATGAAACCGAAAAAATTTCCTCACCTAAGTTTTACATTAACGTGTCGTAAAACTCTCAGTTCCTCTTGTTCATCTCTTCTATGTGTTCCTTTTTCAAGCAGGTGAGGCAGCTGTGGAGGGTCGACCCCCAGTTAAATACAAAGAGCTCTGCAACCAGCACGCACACACTTTCTCGCCTATCCAAATTACTCTTTCACAAAATGTTCATGTTTCTTTCTTGGCCTCCTTTGCTCTGAACAATGTCTTAGTTTGTCCCCTGGCATTGATTTATTTTTGGTCAGCAGAATGAAGCGGTTGACTGTTTCTGCCAGCCTGGAAGCAATAGGTGGGTGGCGTCATTTGGACCGGCAGCAACTAGGAGGAGCAGCAGCAAGAAATGTTTTGAGAACTGACGTGCTGTAATACTACATGTTATTTTTGAGAGAAACAGTGGCACCTAACTGAGGAGCACAAGCCTTTCTGATCTTGATCAGTGATTTTTTCTACCCACTTTTTGGTGACAGCTGTTACAAGAGCTTCATTCAAAATTTTAATTGAACCAGTTGCCTAACAGAGATGTGATGTAATTCAGTGGAGGCACAGCGTGAACACTTTCTTCACACAGCTGCTTCTGTCCCCAGATGTGCTTTTTATAGAACACATTGTCTGGTAGCACAGCATATGGCTCAGGAGTTCGTAGTTTTATTTAAAATACTTCCTCTAGCACTGCCTCTGCCTGGCAGGAGACAACTCAAAGCTCAGTTTCCTTTTCTGACAAGTGAAGGTAACACTCCCTTATTAAAAGCGTGTTTTGTGCTCTGGATTGTAGGCAGTGTCTTTGTTATAGCAGATACGCCAGCCAGATTTTCGCAGCTCTGCCACACCTGCCAGCCACTGCTCAGATGCTTACTGGGTAAGTGCTTGTCAGCTGAAAGATTCCTTGTTTCAGAAATCATTCTGGTTTCCTTGATCAGGCCCGTTGAACCCTTACTGCTAAGCTTCAAGACTGCCACATATCTGGTAACTTAGAAGAATAAGTACGTGCTTTCCCACTCTCTGCCCTTCTCTCCTACCTGAACAGCCACGTGGCCCTGCAGAGAGTGGCCAAGTGTGCAGTTCTAAGGCCGCGTTTCTCCTCTGTTTCCTGATCTTACCTGCTCGGAAATGCTTTCACGAGAGTGGACGAGCCTGAGCACTAAATGCTGAACAGAACTGTCAGTGGGACTTTGTGCAAAAACTGGTGGAAGGATGACAGATTGCCCTGGTTTCATCATGTCACACGAGTGATTAATGGCGGAAAGGTCATCCACACTTTCAGCTTACGTCTGATGGCTTTGCTTTGCAGGACTGGCTTTGGGAGCTGAACTCTGGTGGGTGCAAGATGCTTTTCTGTGTTTTCTGCTGACAAGAGAACGTGATTGAAGTCTGGGGCAGCCAGATGCTGCTTTTGAAAGAAACTGTGCCAGTTTGAGCTTCCCTTGAAAGTGTCTCCTGGGTGAAGACCATCTGAGTACTTGCACCGAGTTGTATCTTCTACTACAGTGTTGCTGAGAGCTGCTTCTTACATGTAGGCCTAGGGGGCTTTTGGGTGTGGGAACAGCCTGAGGGCCTTTGTCCTGAAACTAAACCTGAGGTAGTGTCAGCAGGACACTGGGGATTGTGCGAACCCATTAACGTCATGTGCACATTGCTATGGACAGGATGCCAACCTACCGTGGCTGGGCTGGAGCTAAACACGCAGGATACTAGCCTATTGAGTTTTTATCTAGTTTATCGTGTCCTCTGATCCTACGTGCACAAATCAATCCGATCTCCCCAGCACAAAGATACTTCTGCAATGAATCAAGGTCAATGAAGCTGG